GGCCTGTTTGAATGTAGCGATGACAGAACTGTTGTGTGACTGTGGAACGAACAATAGATAGGCTCTTCTTACACTGCAGAGAGGCATGAGTGAATCAAAACAAACCCGATACATATCAGACAGTCACCCAAACTCATCATTGTTTGATGGCTGTTGGGCATGAGTTGGAGATCTCAATCCAGTGTCTAATGGAGCAGCATCAACACCAAAAGAAACCAGTGAAACAGGCACCTTTGTCTCAGAGGTCAAAGAATGATAGGCTTTGAGGTGGTGGGGACAACTCTCTTACACCTACGGCTGCCCATTCACAACAGATTGGAGCACGCCAACAGGGGGAAACTTGCACAGAGATTCTGGGTAAGTGTGGGAGAGAAGGTGGTTCAGGGGAAGTGTGCTGAGAGACATAGCAAATGAGGTGGTGTACAAAAGCCACTTCATGGATGGCCCTGACCTTCAATGGATCTCAGAGGATCTGCCAGATTTGGGAGCAGACCTAGTCCATGGAAGGCACCCTCCTCCCCGTCTCCAAGAGAGCAGTCAGAGGGGAATTTGTTGAGGGGGATGCTTGCAGGAATTTCCTCCATCACGGCCCAACTTTCATTTCTTTTACTGACAGTAACCGGAAACAACATATAGATGTCTGCTTTGTACTTCTGCCAGCAAAGCAGCTGTCGTCTTCTACACCTGCTGCACTCAAGGCCCTGTCTAAACTATATACGAGGTGACCATTTGGCGGTTTCTTAAATCCACACATTTAAAAGGAAGTACTCGCTTGCTTCTAAGATGATCTAACATCTCAAGCTCGTAGGGCTCCTTTACCACCGATTGGAAGCCTGCAGAAAAATTTCTCATAAGGCAAATATTACATTTATAAGGGGTCTTTCAGGCAAAATATTTCAAAGCACTGTGGATGAAAATACAATAAAAAGCCTCTTTAATAATAAAAAAAAATCAGCGACAGGTTTCACAACTGTTAGTGAGCAAAGCAGAGGATTTTCATTTTGCTTTTATCTGTCTCCAAAGGCCCATCTATTGAAAAGCTATTAGGAGTTCCACCACTTGAGTGCCTTTTAAGCAAGTGTTCTTGCACCTGCTGAAGTTTATCTAATAGAGGCCACATGAGGATCAAGCCAGAAAAAGAAAAACTGGTACAGAGGAGTTAAAGGCCTCTGCAAATTATAACGGGCATGAGTCAGAGAATGCCAGTAAATCTTCAAACTGAGGTGGTGCTTCACAGGGAGTTGACGTAAGGAGGTGGTTGTTACTAGTTCTGGTCTGAATACAAACAGCTGTATCCAAAGCCACAGAGTAGTTGGAGACATTGAAAAATGAAAGGTCATAGTAGCGACACAAAGCCAAGATAGAAAACAAGCACTACCATTACTATTCACACCGCACTGAACTTGGCCAGTGAGGGGTACCGCCCCGAGGGTACCAAACACTGGAACTTGTGCAACCACCTTCTCACACTAAGGTCATGGAGCTGAACAAGTTATGGAGAAACTTCTAGCCCAAACATTTAGGCAATTTTTGTTGTTGTTGTTGTAGAAATGAAAACACAATGTATATTAAGTTGGATTTTCATGAAGTTCTGCAAACACGCAGACCTTGCAGGGAGCTAGGGAATGCACCTGATTTTAGCATCATAGACTTGAGCCAAGGTTTTTCATGAGCTACTTTTCCTTGTCATTCTCATTTTGTTTCTATGGCATTCATGAAATAATATGGGCTCCCTCTGGTGGCCAATGATACCTCTATGGACAATAACAAAAGAGTCTCTCAGTGGATCAACTGTCTACTTTCTATTTCAGAACAGAGTCAACTGAAATCCTGCTGGGGTTCTTCTATTTATTAAGAATTCTATTGACCCCCACCCCGAAAACAATATAATTAGAGTCACTCATTCCTACCATTTTTAAAAGTTTTTTTAAATCAGTACTGAGAGCTGATCACATAAAACAAGCCAAGTTATTAAAAAAACAAAAGCAATTAAGCCATATGAAAATATCTAGAAAAATATCAGCCATTTGGTCAACAAAGCACAATTAGTGCTTACCTGGTGTCCTATCCCACCATTCAACCCTTATTTGGGGCTCCTGCATGTGACTTTATGATATCTAGGACAAGGGTCAAATTAGCTTGGAGTCTCATTTAACTTGATGGTTTATCATGGTTAACCCCTTTCTTCAGGAGATTGTTTTTCCAGCTCTCACATCTTTATATGTGGCTGAACTGTTCTTTTTCCCTAGCCTGCCCGGTTTCCCTTAGGAAGTGTTTTGAATCAAGCAATCGCGTCCCAGCCTGATAATGAAGGCATGCAGGACAGCAAGAAAAGCTCTCTTTGTATAGAAGATGCAAAGAAGAAGAGAGTTACGTGAAACACAAACGTATACCAAACATAGCAAATAAAGTTACAAAAGCTAGCACAAGTATTGCTTTAAAACCAAATACGGATCCAAATAAAAGGAAGGATCACCTTACGTTAGCTTATGTTCTGGAGAGGGTGAAATTAAGCCTATGAACTTGGATCTCTCCTGTGACTGAGTTCCATTCAGTTCTGGCTTGTTGGCCCCAACGAGAGTTGGAGCAGCTTCCCGCCAACTTTAACTTGCACCACTGACCAAGGGTCCTTAATTGACCCTGTAGAAGTGGAGGATTGCCCTAGTTCAGTCCCCCAACTCCAATCACCTGTGCCAGACCCAGCACACCCGCACCAGCTCCCCTCCTACAGGGGAATCCTCTACTGGCCAGTGGTAGTCAGTTTCTGGCCCCTTTGCACCTCCTGACCGGTGCAGAAAGGCCAGATCTGAGTACAGATTTTGTCCTTAGCTTTCTAACGATGTGACATATCCCTGCAGTTCTAGATGACTTCAATGACAGTTGCAGGTGATCAGCACTGTTGGGATCAGAGTATTTAACTAGGGGTTAGAGGGGAATTCAATGTTCCTCAGCAAAAAATATTGGAGGAAAGGCTGCTACGACAAATAAAAAAACCTGTCAGCTGAATTTTGGAGAAACTGAAACATCTTCAGTTTTATGTAAGGGGAAGCGTGGTCACCCCCACCGACTTAATGAAGCACTCATCTCTCTGGAGGAAGAGTACTACACAGGTACAAATATTATTACTGATTGATGGGAGTCAGGATTGGTAGTAAGTTCAAAGTAACTGTGTATCACCAGTCACCTCATAAAAGCTTTTCTTCTTCCTTTGTCCTTACAAATTACTCTACTCTGATTGCAACAAGTATTTCACCAACAAATCCATAGGCCCTTTAAAAGAGTGGTGGCTCACCCATGCAACAAAAGAGACTCTTGGATCTCAGTTGCCTTTTGTACTTAAAATGCTTTTTCAGTGCTTAGCACTTAAATGAGCAGGCATCCGTACCCTCCTGATTGCAAGTACTCTGGTTAACAAATTTTGTGGCTCAAGACCTCGATCCCGTAGTGAGCAGTGTGCACCCAGAGCCCCACTGACTCGGCCAGCTTCGGCCCCAAAGCAATAATTTGCCTTGTCAGGAGTAGGAATGCACAGAACAGAGATGAAGAGCATCAGGTCAGCTATTGTTAGTTGGGAACACCAAGGGAATAAAGATAATTTTCCCTCCTCTGAGCCAAAATGTGCATGAGAAAAATAAAAGGCCTTTCTTCCAGACCTTCCCTGACATTCTGATATGGGATGAAATAACCCTGATTTATTTCTCAACTAATCTAGTCTGGTTGCAAGACAATCAGCCCAGACACGGAGCATAAAGGCCATTCACGTTAGCTAACCACTAGCAAATAAATTAAATAAAATTACTACAATTGCATTAATGCATTTAAAAGAGCCATGAGTCAAATATTTTATAGGCTATTATGCATAATTTTAAGGCTTAACATCAAAAGGAAAAACACCACCATTTTTGTCTCATGAGTAAGGAATAATGCTGGGAGCCAGACTGTGATAGTTTTCATGTCCAGTATGTTGGGAAAATCCCAGAATACATTTTTTATCTATTGTGTTTCCAAATGCTGGAACTTTCAGCTTTTTATACAAAAGTAATTTCATCTTAATCAGTGCTGTTTAGGTAGACTTTGATTTCTGTACAAGATTAAAATACTCTCATATGGAAGCTTTTGACCTCAAATGTTAAAATTAGCCCTCCGTGCACAATGTACAGACAGCTCTGCATACTGTACGCTTTCCATATTGTTCTAAAGAGGTTACAGTCAATTTTGATTATAGTCAATAATGATTGAATAAACGTTTTAAAGAAAATTTAGCACTTCCGTGCATTTTCCATCATCAAACATTGTGCAATCTAGCTCATCTTCACAACAAATCTGTGCAAAAAAAAAAAAATTATGATTCGCCCTCTGGAGCATTTCTAACTATTTACTATAACAGCAGAATATTTTGAGTGTATTTGTGTAAATGTGATTCCCACGCAGACTAATTGAAGATGTTTATTGTTTCTAAAGAGGGTGCTCTTTCAAAACAAAACAGGAAGATCTTGATTGTCGAGGAAGTTCATTAAACTGTGTGAGGGAATTTAAACAGTCAATGAGAGTTTTCATATGCCGAGCAATAATGGAGAAGCCACTCTAGCATCTTAAAAGGAAGTGGTGATACAGCTTTTAATTATCACACTGATGTTTAAACTGCAGAGGTTTTTATATGTCTTTTTCTGAATGCCTTTCAGTGGACTGTGTAGGGCACACAGGTCAGTAGATATGTTAGAGTAAAACAGTTATTTAATAGAGCATACGGCTTCCCCACTCAAGCCCCAAACACCAAACGCACAAATGCAAGCCAGGGAAAGTTAATCCAGTTGATCAGAAGGGGGCACTTCATCTTTGGAGGTATTTAAACTCGTTAGCATATTCCATTTAATACAAAGGAGCAGCTAAAAGAAAGAAGAGGAATGTGGGTAGTATTAATGCAGTAAGACTGTCAACAATTTACCAACTGTCAAACTTTGGTGGGAATGGTATAAGTAAGATGTCACTGTTCCACATACCTGGTGGGCAGACACATTCAGATGGAGCCTCTCGCACTGTCCGCAGCTTGGCTAATCCTTCGCCCAGTTTCTGTCCAGAGGGAGGGGGAGGGGGAAAAAAAAAAAGATATTTAGAGAATAAATGTATACTCACTGCATACGTACAAAGGGCCAAATTACGAAACAAATCCTCTTCATGCTATGGACAAATAACTCCACCCCATTTTCGTCAGTCCAGTTTAACAATAGCTTCTTCTAAAATAACACACAAGATGTTTAAAATTGGTCAGTCTGCCACCCTTACTAATGGAGAGTAAAACCTTTCCCCTTAGAAAGCAAAGAAGTTACTTGCCAAATAAGATACTACTCAAGCATGGCAGAATCTGACCCAGAGATATTACAATTACTTTATCTAAGACAGTTCACCCCCACCCACCCCCAGCAGATCCAATGCAGGGTGATAACAGTGCAGTGAGGTTTAAGTTGTAAAGGTGATGCTCTCAGCCTCCAAAGGGAGCCTTACTGTGCTACTCAATCTCTAGCACCTCTTGTAGGATGACTGGAAGAGTGACTTATTTGCCCCAAGAGGGGCACCTTTGCAAGGCAAGCACAAAACTGCTTCAAGGGATTGGGTTTCATAGGAGTTAAGGGCCAAGAATGCCACACGGAATTATCCCCACATCTTTCCATAGGCTTAAAAAAATAAAAGGGTGAACAATATATCATAGAATAATAGAAATGTACGGCTGGAAGCAACCTCAAGAAGTCATCAAGTCCAGCCCCCTGCACTGTGGCAGGACCAAGGAAACCTAGGCCATGCCTTTCAGGCATTTGTCCAACTTGTTTGTAGACGCTACCAATGATGGGAACTCCATGATCTCCCCTGGAAGCTTATTCCAGAGTTTAACTACCCTTATAGTTAGAAAGCTTTTCCTAATATCTAACTTAAATCTCCCTTGCTGCAGAGTAAGCCCATTACTTCTTATCCCACCTTCAGTGGACATGGAAAACAATCGATCACCGTTCTCTTTATACGAGCCCTTTCTGGGGCATGCGCAAGAATTTAAATTTGACCACTTTTGAAGGGACATGTTCCGTGCCCTCACTGCAGCCCCGGGGCCAGAGGAGCTCTGTGCCCGGCTGCAGCCCTGGAGGAGTTATGCCCCCGCCAATCACTGGGGTGGGACCATGCCCCTGCTTGCCCCCGTCCCCTTGTGCACGCCCCTAAGCCCTTAACATATTAGGAGACTGTTATCAAGTCTCCTGAGTCGTCTTCTCACGACTAAACAGGCCCAGTTTTTTCAACCTTTCCATATAGGTCAGGTTTTCTAAACATTTAATCATTTTTGTTGCTCTCCCCTGGACTCTTTCCAATTCGTCCACATCCTTCCTAAAATGTGGTGCCCAGAACTGGACACAATACTCCAGCTGGGGCCTCATCAGTGCCATGTAGAGTGGGACAATTACCTCCCGTGTCTTACATACAAGAGTCCTGTTAATATACCCCAGAATCACATTGACAAATCATGTTCAGTTTACGGTCCACTATAACCTCCAGAGCCTTTTCAGCAGTACTACCACCTAGCCAGTTATTCCCCATGGTGTAGTTGTGCACTTGATTCTTCCTTCCTAAGTGATGCACTTTGCACTTGTCTTTATTCAATTCCATCTTGTTGAATTGAGACCAATTCTCCAATTTGTCAAGGTCATTTTGAATTTTAAACCTGTCCTCCAAAATGCTTACAACCCCTCCCAGCTTGGTGTTATCTGCAAATTTTATAAGCATACTCTCTACTCCATTATCCAAGCCATGAAGGAAAATATTGACTAGTTGTGGACCCAGGAATGAGCTCTGCAGACCACCACTAAACACACCCTCCCAATTTGATAGCAAACCATTCAGAACTACTCTTTGAGTTTGGTCTTTCAACCCGCTGTGCACCCACCTTTTAGTAATTTCATCTGGATGACATTTTCCAAGTTTACTTATAAGCTATATTGCTTTCTACAAACTTATGGGATATAGAAAACATTAGGCACTATTTATTCACCCCCTTCAGCAGACATCAGCACAGTACTGATACTTATTTTTTCACTGGAAATATTTGGACCAAAAGTTTTCCTCCAGTTTGTCACAAACCGTGGGAAACAACGTATTCACAGAGATGTAAAAATGTCCCCTAGAAGTCACCATAATAAATCCATGGTGGTAGCACTGATAGTATATTATGTGACTGTATATTTTTAAGCCCATGTTAACTGCATATATATTTTAGAATATACACCTCTACCCCGATATAACGCTGTCCTCGGGAGCCAAAAAATCTTACCACGTTATAGGTGAAACCGCGTTATATCGAATTTGCTTTGATCCACCGGAGTGCGCAGCCCCACCCCCCCAGAGCGCTGCTTTACCGTGTTATATCCGAATTTGTGTTATATCGGGTCGCGTTATATCTACATACACCTCTACCTCGATATTTCTTTTGGTTTCAGGCACACAGTAGAACAAGTCCAACTACAGGAAGGGTTAATGGAAGGGTGAAAACTGCTTGAGTTTTAAAATTGTTTTCTCCAAACACTATATTATATATATATAAAAATAAAAAAGAGAGAGAGAGAGAGAGAGAGAGAGAGAGAGAGGTCATACATTAAAAGCTTTTTTTGGGGGGGGGGGGC